GAAAGAAAACAAAGAAATAAATTTTCCACAACAAAAGGAATGTGGGAGAAACTGGCCTTAAGATGTTAGGCTTAAGCACAAGTTATAAACCACTAAAACCCCTTTGGTAAACTAAACTGCATGTTCTGTCCCCTTCCATTAGAAATGTATAAATTTAGCCAGGGAGAGTACCTGAGAGGGAGGGGGGGAGAGGGAGAGAGAGAACTGTCTCTGTTATGCAATCTCCTCTATCTAATTTATTTGGGTTCTCTAAATTAATATTGCTTAATTGGGAAGTCCAAGAATCAGAAACATTTGCATTATTTGGCAATAATCTGTGCTCACAACCGCCCAGGACTCCTGTCTTGACTATTGCCATGTGCTCTACATGGGGCTGCCCTTGAAAGACTCCCATGGGTGCATAATGGGATGGAACATCTGGTTGTGTGCAAGCCAAGATTTGCACAAGTGTCACCTCTCTTGAGGGAGCTGCATTGGGTTCTGGGTACAATTCAAGGTCCTGGTTGTCACTTTCAAAGCCCTACCTGGACAGGACCAGGTGGTTTGAAGGACCATCTTCATCACTCAGTCATATCTACCCAACCCTCCAGAGTGGGGAGGCAGGGGGTGTTATAAGTCCCTTCTGCTAAGGAGACCCATGTAGTGGGACCAAGAAGAAGGGCCTTCTCCGTGGTAGCTCTCATCCCTGCGGAAATCAGGTTGGCCCCCACCTTGACACTTTCAAAGGGCCCTGAAGACGAGGTTCTGCCAACAGGCCTGGGGACCCCAGAGGGGAGAGGGTTGGTTTTTTTTAGTTTCTCTATTGGGGGTTTATTTTTGTAGGCTGCCTGGCACTGAGTTGAGAAGCCATATAAGTTTTCTTAATAGATAGATCGGGGGTCTCCACTGACTTAGTAATTTTAGACTTGTGGACTTCAACTCCCAGAATTCCTCAGCCAGCCAATTCCCTATGCTGAGACAGACAGACAAGACTAGACTAGACTAGACTAGACTAGACTAGANAGGAAGGAAGGAGAAGGAAGGAAGGAAGAAGATGAAAAGGAAGGGAGGGAAGGAAGGAGGTGAAAAGGAAGAAGGGGAAAAGGAAGGAAAGAAGGAAGGAGGTGAAGAGGAAGGGAGGGAAGGGCGGGAAGGAAGGAAAAGGAAGGAAGGAAAAAGATGAAAAGGGAGGGAAGGAAGGAAGGAGGTGAAAAGGAAGGAAGAAGGTAAAAAGGAAGGAAAGAAGGAAGGAGGTGAAGAGGAAGGGAGAGAAGGAAGGAGAAGGAAGGAAGGAAAGGAAGGAAGAAGATGAAAAGGAAGGGAGAGAAGGAAGGAGAAGGAGAAGGAAGGAAGGAAAGGAAGGAAGGAAGAAGATGAAAAGGAAGGGAGGGAAGGAAGGAAGGACGGAAGAAGGTGAAAAGGAAGGGAAGAAGGAAGGAGGTGAAGGGAGAGAAGGAAGGAGAAGGAAGGAAGGAAGGAAGGAGATGAAAAGGAAGGGAGGGAAGGAAGGAAGTGAAAAGTAAGGAAGAAGGTGAAAAGTAAGGGAAGAAGGAAGGAGGTGAAGAGGAAGGGAGGGAAAGGAAGGAAGGGAGGGAAGGAAGGAGGTGAAAAGGGAGGGAGGGAGGGATCATATGACCCCGGGGCACTACAACCATCATAAATAGGAACCAGTTGCATCCAAGTTTTGATTATGTGAACATGGAGGTGTGGAACGGTCATAAGTGTGAAAAGTAGTCCTAAGACGCATTTTCAGTGCTGTTGTATCTTCGAACGGTCGCTAAACGAACTGTCATAAGTCAAGGGCCGCCTGTGCTCCTTTGAAGCAAAGGACCTCGGCGTGTCGTTTCCAGGGGTACAGGATTAGAACCGGGAGCCTCCTCGGCAGACAAGGAAAGGAGTTGGCCGTTCCTGGGAAACTCTGGATGCAGTTGGCCCACCGTGGGAATCGCCGGTGGCCCCGTTTCCACCGGCCTTGCGCAACCCCCGTGGACTGAATGGCAGCCCCGGAGTTTGAGTTTCTGTCCAACCCCACAATGCGCCTTTTCTCCTCGGGTTGAGCCCCCTCTCCCCCCCCCCCCCNCCTTCCTTCCTTCCTTCCTTCCTTCCTTCCTTCCTTCCTTCCTTAGCTTTCAGCAGTCTCTGCACCCGTGTCTTAACAAACACTGCTTTATGCTTTAGTAGAGGGAAGCATCCTAAACAGGTGGGCAAGGGACCTTAGAGGTCTTCTAGCCCAACCCCCTGCTCAGGCAGGAGAATCTCTACTGGTTCAGACAAACAGCTGTCTAATCTCTTCTTAAAACCCTCCAGTGTTGGAGCACTCACTCAACTTCTGGAGGCAAGTTGTTCCACTACATAATTGTTCTCGCTATTAGGAAATTTCTCCTTACTTCTACGTTGCTTCTCTCCTTCAATAGTTTCCATCCCTTGCTTCTTGTCCTGCCCTCAGGTGCTTTAGAAAATAGATTGACCCCCACCTCTTCAGAAATATTGACTTTTGATGATCTTACTCTTGTTTTTAACTGTTTTAGTATAATGCTTATTTATGGTTTTTATATTTTTAAGGTTATTCGTTCACCACCCAGAGTCGCTCTACGAAGGGGGTGGGCCCTTCCTAGACATGGAAAATTCATACAATAAATAAAACAAAATGTGTTCTTTATTGATTTTGGAAATGGCTTCGTCTCGTCTAAACAGGACGTGATTGAGCCACAGATTCTCCAGATGGTAGATTAAGTAATACCTTAAAGGATTAAACCAATTCTCTATTAATATTTTTACGGGCATCGTTTAATCTCTTGGAAAATCATTTTAATCACCCTTCCGTATCTTTTTTATACAGGCAAAACATTTCCTTTTAACAAATTAGATTTACATTAAGTTAATTTTAATTTAACTTGTTAACAAAATGCAATTTGCTGGCGAAGTAACAAAAAAAGAGTTAAATGTTATATTTCACTTGAAATTTAAATTTTCATTTCATTCAAATTCATTACATTTGGGGAGGGAGTGTGGTTCTATTTTCATGTACTATTCCTTAGTTATTTATATTTAGCCATTTACATCAGACTATCGTTTTGCCTATATTATATTACATATATTCTTTCACTAGTATATCTTAACTGGTCTTTCCTATCCCCTATCCTATCGCTATATCCTAATTCTTCTACTGTATCTTAATTTTACGTTTCCCTAATTTGCCCCCGTAACACACTTTCCATAAATCCCCCCACGCAGATTTTTGTTTGGTGTTAATTAGGCCAAACATCTAGTTATTTTAAAACGATAAAGAAATCAAAGTGAAGTTTTTTCTTTCAGCTGAATGATTTGATGGAAACATTCTTCCCTCTGCCTGTTAACCAAAGTTGGTCTTTTTTTATTTTTATTTTTCATAACAAACAACCACATGTACACTGTTACATAACCAATGTTATTTTATATTATTAAATATTTACATCAATTCGTCTTACCATCAACCCCCCCCCCCAAAAAAAAATTATTGGCTCTTCTGTTCTCCATACACCATATTTGTATCCTGTCCATCACCTTCTTCTCCCTCTCTTCTCCTCCTCCCTACCTCCTTTCTTCTGCCCATCATCCTTCTCTTCTATACTTTCTCTCTCCTTCTCTCTCTTTCTCTCCTTCTCTCTCTTTCTCTCCTTCCTCTCTCCTTCTCCTCTTCCTCCTTTCAACTCCTTCTTTCTCTCCTCCTCTTCCCTCCCCTGCCCTCTCTCCTATCCCTCTTTTCTTCCTTTACCTCTCTCCTCTATTCCACACTCTGAAGTCTATCCAAAGTCTCTACTTACTTGTAAGCTGTGAGCTGTGGAGACAATATTCCCAGTGAAATTTGCAGGTCCATCCAGTTGATGTTCCCTATAAACCTGCCCTCAGCCTCCGTCATCGCCCCCCCCAACCCCACCCCCAGCATGGATAAAAACCTGACCTGATGTTTTTTTAATCTCCTCCCTGCAATTAGATTGCTTCATTTCTGCAGGAAATGAAACAGAGAGAGAGATGGATTCTGGTATGTGTGTTTTTTTCCCTTCCCTAATGTGTGCCATCCAGTGTTTTTTTTTCTGCCTGGAAGACTATCCAGGTCAGGAAAAGAAAAAGGAAGAAGGAATTAAAAACAGGGATGGAGAAATAATATTTCCCCAATTGTTCGCAGCTTAAGCAACTTTGGGGAAAACGAGAAAGTTCCCGCTTTCTCTTGTCAGTGAGAGTCAAACATTCAAAGATCTTTAAGCGATGGGATAGAAAAGTTTTAGCTTTTTTTTTTTTAGAAATTAAAAAATAGTGCGTGTCGTAAGAAAGAGACACCTTGTCTTTAGCATTCGGGGGGAACGATCCAATGGAAGCCTAAACTTCCAAACAGAATGACTTATAAAAAAATATAAAGTAAAAAAAGTATAATATAAAACATCTCGACGTCCCGAAGATTCTGACTGTAGATCATCCAGATTCCAGCTGTGGATTTTTAGCTGTGTAGAAAAGCAAGCAGATNGCTACGGCCATAAATAAAAGCTCATATTTTTTGCAAGCCTCGTCTGGAAGTCTCCATTCTCTTGGGCGTTTCAGTGGCTCCGGGAAAACTGCTGGGACCTTAAGGCCCCGTTACGAACCAGTTATCAAGCATCCAAATGTTGCTCAGGTGAGCATGGAAATGCTGTTGTAAGTTGAGAGCTACCTGGACTGGCATCATTCCTTAGTAAGACAATGTAGATTTAAAAAAGGGGGTTTTTTTAACCTCCAAAAGTTTAACCTGTCAAATACTTCTTCAGGGCAACTTCAGGGCAAATACTTCTTCAGGGCAAAAGTTTAACCTGTCAAATACTTCTTGGCAGGGCAAAAACATTACAATAACAGATGATTTTTGGATTCCTGCAAACTCCCCATTCCCTCCACACTCCTGGGGGAAGGATACTACAAAATCTCCATTCCCTAAAGGCTGATTTCCCCTCTGCCCCTAAGTGTTCCTATGCCCATCCCAAGCAGGGAAAAAAACACCGCAGGACCAGGAGGGATTCATATCCAAAGTATATTTTATTGTTACAGATCAAAACACCAGGGAAAGCTGAGGGATAATGGGAACGCATTTGGAATGCGGGCTGTTAACGGTGGGAAGGGGAAAAACGGGCATCGGGGAAAACCTTCCAGGATCTTTCTAGGAAGAATTCACAAGTGCAACACAGAACTTTGGGTTAATACGAGAGCGGAAGGGGGAGAGACGGTTAAGGGGAGGGACAGATGGCAAGGTCTCGTTCGAGGGGACGATGGGGCTTGTGCAAAGCAGCATGAGGTTAGTGCAGTCTCCCCACCCCCCACCCCCGCTCCAATCCGGCGCGCTCCAGATGTGTCGGCTTGCAGGCCCAATGCTAGAGGGTGTCACACCGCACATCTGGAGGGGCTAGGTTGGGAAGGTTAGGTTAATACATGGCTGGGCAGTCAGGAGGACCCATCTTAACCAAGCTTTGAGGTTTCCCCTCTGTTTCCAAGGAGACAAAGAAGCAGGAGGGTTGCTGAAGGTGTAAGCCGCCTCACGGCTCCTGGTTGATCTCCTCCACCCTGGCCTCAGCCTGGATGCCCATGTCCTCCAAAATGGGGTTGACCAACTGGTGGAGTTTGTCGACCGCCTGGTCAAAGGAGCGTTTCACCCCCTGAAGCTTCTCCTGGAACTGTTCCTGGAGCTCCTGGACGCGGCTGCTGAGCTTCTGGTGGACCATCTGGCCTTGCTCGCCGATGGCTTGCTGGAGAGCCTGGATCCTCTGCTGCCCCTTTTCGTGGATGTTGGAGAGGTAGGGCTCCAGGTTCTGACGGACGGAGGTGACCTTCTCGCTGGTGTTGGTCCTCACCTCCTGGGCGTAGGTCCCCAGCTTCTGGCGCAGCTCCTCGGCGTCCTTGGTGAGGCGTTTCCTCAGCTTGCGCATCAGGAGGTTGAACTGGTTCTTCACGTTGTCCACGTTGTGGTCGAGCATCAGGCGGGCGTCCCGGCAATATTGGAGCAGCTTCCCCTTGGTCTCCTCCATGTCGCCTCTCAGTTTCCCGGTGAGGGTGGACACTTCGGTCGTCAGGCGCTCCTGTAGCTCTTGGGTGTAGGGGCCAAACTTGGAACGGAGATCATCCGTGTAGACTTCCACCTCAGCGACGGTGTCGGTGATGAGGCCACTGAGAAGACAAGGGAAGCCAGGGGTCAATTCCTCATATTTACATAGCTTTGTTGTTGGCCCAAGAGAGCCAGGTTGGTTTAGGAATGGTGACGGACCAGGCTAGGAACTAGGAGCCCGGGAGTTCTAGTTCTGCCTGAGCCATGAAAGTTGGGGGGGGGGGCTTTGGGCCCATCACCAGGAGACAGGGAGTTCTAGTCCCACCTTAGGCATGAAAACCAACTGGGTGACTTTGGGCTAATCACCAGGAGCCTGGGAGTTCTAGTTCTGCCTGAGGCATGAAAGTTGGGGGGGGACTTTGGGCCAATCACCAGGAGACAAGGAGTTCTAGTCCCACCTTAGGCATGAAAACCAACTGGGTGACTTTGGGCTAATCACCAGGAGACAGGGAGTTCTAGTCCCACCTTAGGCATGAAAACCAACTGGGTGACTTTGGGCTAATCACCAGGAGACAGGGAGTTCTAGTCCCACCTTAGCCATGAAAACCGGCTGGGTGACTTTGGCCCAATCCCCCAGGAGACAGGGAGTTCTAGTCCCACCTTAGGCATGAAAACCAACTGGGTGACTTTGGGCTAATCACCAGGAGACAGGGAGTTCTAGTTCCACCTTAGCCATGAAAACCGGCTGGGTGACTTTGGCCCAATCCCCCAGG